CTTATCCACCTGGCCATATCGGGCCCCAAAAATTGGAAGAGCGCTGGTATAATTACAGAAGGTTATGTACTTTATATTAAAAATAATTTTGAATATGCAAAAGAGCAAATCGCATGACAACCACAGTCAATGTAAAATCGTGGTGGAATAGCATGTATCAGAATTACACCGGACGTTGATTGCTTTTGGAACGAGTATTTAAGAGCCCTTTTCGATGCAAAGTATTCATACACCCTGATCATAAAAATAAGTTCGGATCAGATATTTAGAATTTCCAAAACGGTAATATGCGTTGTATTTTATTGTATTGGAAAAGAAAGGAATGATACTCCAGCCTTTATAATCAAAGTGCAGTGAACAAGTGAGAATCCAATAACACAAAGCCTTCCACTGCCCCAGGCAACAGTACGTAATATAATTTGGTTTGGTTTGTTTTGAATTTCGCGCAAAGCTACACGAGGGCTATCTGCGTTAGCAGTCCCTAATTTAGCAGTGAAAGACTAGAGGGAAGGCAACTAGTCATCACCACACACCGCCAACTCTTGGGCTGCTCTTTTACCAACGAATAGTAGGATTGTCCGTCACATTGTAGCGCCCCCACAGCTGAAAAGGCGAGCATGTTTGGTGGGACGTGGATTCGAACCCGCGACCCACAGATTTCGAGTCAAGCGCCCATGCCAGGACTTTGTAATATAATAAAGAACGATTTTTTTCTGAAAAGCCCCCCAGTGGCACAGCGGTATGTCTGCGGACTTACAACGCTAGACACCAGGTTTCGAAACCCGTGGTGGGTAGAGCACAGATAACCCATTGTGTAGCTTTTTGCTTAATTCTAAACAAACAAACAAATAAATCTTTCTGAAAAAAATGTCACAAGACATGTGTATACAAGCTGCTTCCACAGCATATATATTCAAAAATCGCATACCTCAAGCATCTGGAGAATAAATGGGTATTCTTGGTATTCCATACGAATACATTCCAGTCAAGTCGTCGGACTCAATATCTGTGAATTTCTGAGATTCGGTTATTAAAACGGCGCTTAGAAACGATCGTCCTCCTTCACTAGATAGATTGCGGAAAGCAGTAGGGAAGGGGGGTATGCTTTGAACGTCACAGCCTTATAAGGAGCCTTTTGCAAAGGAAACTATGCTTATGGGCTATTGTAAGTATGCACGGTCGTCAGATATACAGAGCAAGACTGTACATAGCAACATGAACTATAATATAAAGTAGTCAACCTTTGTATAACAACAACATAATTAAAAATTGTTAATTTAAAAAAGGGAAATAGAGATTGTCAAAAAAGAATAGAAACAAATTTAATCAAAATGCAAATATTATAGTTTCAAGCCTACAACTAGGGAATCTAAAAAGTAAACTAACTAGGCTGGAAATAGTGTCTACATTATTTTCTCAAGCTACAAGTCCCTATTTTTGTCTCCATGTCTACAGCACTTATCAGATTTAGTGGAGTCAAAATAGATTTTTGTAGCTTGAGCTTGAAAAAAATAATGGAAACACTATTTTCAGCCTTGGAATTTTGTTTGTGGTGCCATTCAATAGATGGCGCAGTAGTTTGATGAAATACTATCTAACTTGATATGTATTTGTATGTGGTATTTTAAACCTGAACCCTACAAGCACACGGGCTAAACGTCGGGTCAGAAACCTCTAAGGTTCAGGTAAAGCCACGTCTAATTTTGGGTTACTGAAAGCGGTCTGTCAGTAGCACCCACCGTCAAAATATTTGGTTCGATTTGGAATAAAGGATAACGCGATTGGTTTTCACTCTTATAACGCACCCACAGATGAAAGTACGAAACGTATTTATTGATTTTTTTTGTGTGTTTTTTTCTGAAAAAAAATGTTCAGGAACTCTTCAATACCTTCTACAACCTTTTCCAATTGATAATCCATCCCACACCATGAGCATCCCAATCGAAAATCGAATACGCGGGCTCACTCCTAGTTAGCAGTAACACATTTGATGATATGAGTTTTATATGTACAATCAATTACATAAATAAAATCGTTAAATCTTAACAGAAGAAGCGATTTTTGTGTAATGTTTTATTTATTCTTGCTGCCCACTCATTAAAACGTACCGGTACGCCGTTCCGGCGCGTTCCGCCAGAAAAAAATCACTAGTTGAAGTAATTTTGCTTTCTCCAAACAAACGTATGATATATCAACAACAAAAATACTTTAGTACTGAAATATAGACCTGTAATAGCATGATATATGTCTCTTTTAGGAGAGTTGTAACTACCACAGAGCCTGAATAACAACAAAACGTTAGAAGTTACTATGCAATAGCTTACTAAATATTCTAAGTATAACATCGCTGATAAGTGAGTTATTAATTGCTTTTATATAACAGATTACACTTTACGTGTTAAGATCTATAGCGTTTACTAACTATGATTAAAACTGTTTCTTGATTTTTCGAAACATTAACTACTTTTATTGAAAGGACCTATCGGTAAATATTAGAAAA